AAGAGATGAGAGAGTTAGAAGGGGGAGGGAGAAAGAAAGATGAGAGAGTTAGAGGAGGGAGGAAGTGAAAGAGACGCACACGCACGCACTTACATAGACACAGTGGAATGACGGGGCCATAGCCCGAGCAAATTCTTTGTATGGGGGCGAACTAAGTTTCGTGACTCAGCCTGTGTAATTACTAGGATGCAAAGTGTGGCGAGAGTATATGTGTGATGAGGGTTTCGCGGATGACTACGTTGCGCTTTACATGTATAATAGCGATATTCACCACTAGTGTATATGCTTTTATCCGATATTCATGCAAAAATCCAGCCTGTTCTGCTAGCATCTATGACAAATACGACATACGCATATACGCTCTCCTATGACACTATTTGGCATAGGAAGATCCTTCCTATGACAAATATTGTTGTATGTGTTGTGCGCATCAGAGGAGTTTAGGAGCGCTATTAGGAACGCAAGCAGTGAATTTCAGCTGTAAAGCGGAACGAAGTTGACTCGCCAATATTTGTCATAGGAAGAATCTTCCTATGACAAATTGTGTCATAGGAGAGCGTATATGCGTATGTCGTATTTGTCATAGATGCTAGCAGAACATGTTGAAAAATCTATGGACAGCTGCCCACCTTCCCCTTCCCCCACAGAGGTCACGACCCTCGATCAGATAATTTTTGACTAGTGACCGAAATAACGTTTCCTAGACACCCGGTGACGTTCTTGTGCAATTTGCCAATGCATTCTACACAATTACGTGCGTGTGGTGAGAGATAACGTACGTCGACAAGCAAACTTCCCACTGCCGTCGTCGTGTGTGTAGGTTTGTTTCCCGCGTCTCGTCGGCGGGGTGACCGAAGCGTTGTCGGCTCGGGTTTCCTCGGCGACGGCTCGAGCTTCCTCGGCGACGGCTCGTGTTTCCTCGGCGTCGGCTCGTTTTTCCTCGGCGTCGGCTCGTTTTTCATCGGCGTCGGCTCGGGTGCAGCCGCCGAAGACGACGCCACCCCGTGCGGTGTCGCGCGTTCTGCAGTCGCAGAGATTTCTGGAGCGGGTTCGGGTAGCTTGGGCTTTGTGCACTGCCGCGACCGGCGCTTGCGCGAGCGACTGCCGCTAGAGGGCGCCTTCGGGTCGACGTCGTTTGCGATCTTCGAGTGACTGCCAGCGCCGCTGCTGTATTTGCTCTCTCGCAGCATTTGCTTGTAGATGCACTCGTGCGCCGGCGCGTCGTCAGGGGCGACGGACACTTCGGCCGTCTTCGCCAGCGATTCGGTTCCTCGCGAGGACGCCACGATCGCGCCCGCTTGACGTCGCTTCGCGCGAAGTCCAGCGGCGCTCCCCGCCATCTTGCAGCGATGCGGACGCGCGGAAATCGCTTCTCGCTTCCCGGCGGGCGTGCCGGTCTCGGCGCGACGCTCTTCGTGGGGGTTCGCCGGTGGCGGCGCTGCCGTCCCGCCGACTCCTCGCACACGCATACCGCGCGCAGTCGACGCGATCTTCGGCGACGCACGTCGGCTGCGGACCGTTTCCGGTTTGGCGCGAGCGGCGGTGGGCGTGCCCGTCGTCGTCTGCTGGCGCGCGCGGAGACGCGCGTGTTCGCAGCGGCGGGCACGATCACGCGCGGCGGCGTGAAGCGCTGTCGGCACGCTCACGCCGCGTGACGGCGAGCGTGCCTTATCGGCGTGAACGTGCTGCACGATCGCCCACGCGCCGCGCTCAGCGCTGGCCCGCTGCGCCGCCGGCTTCTCCTCCCGCTCTGCCTTCTCGCGCGCCAACTCATTCCATCCGCGATGGGTCGCCGCTGCATGCGCGGTAGGGCTGCGGTAGTCCCCGCTCTCCGGCGTCGTCGCCGGCTGCAGGGACGCGTCGCCGTGCCGACCGTCGACGCTACCGTCGCGTCGCTCTTCCGCCACCGCCATTTTATTTCGCCGACCCGTCCCGCAAGGGTCGGCCGACGCGTTCCCCAAGTGCGTGCGACACGCGCGGGCGAGGCGCGAGCGTAAGCGGGCGCCCGCGGTGGCGATGCGGGACGCGGCGCTGCTCTCGCGGGCTGTCGTCGCCACGCGCGTCGATTGCGTCACAGCATGCGGCGGTCCGTTCACAACACGGCCAGCACAGCGCGCTTGCCACGCACGCGATTCTGGCGCGTAGGCGAGCGACCTTTTCGACTGCGAGCGACGCGAGCCGAGGCCATGTCGGCCGGCTCGTGGTTCCTCTCCCTCCGGTCTCGCCTCCCGCGCAGCGAAGCCGATGGGCAGCAGCGGTGTTTCATTTCCGAGATTTTCCCTGCACTTTTCCGTATCGCAATTAACGCACGAGGATGCGTCCTGCGGCGGCGAGAGCTCGTCGAATTTCAACTTGCCTAAGTGTTTGTCACTCGAGCCGGTGTCTGGCGAACCGGCCCGGAGTGTTTTGCGTGTCTTGGCGAATAGTCGTCGGAGAAGGGGCAGTCGGTCCGTAAGCGCTATTCAAAGAGAGATTAGCCTAATTAATAGGAGCATAATATGATCGTTGGCAGAATACAGTGCGCGTTTTGGAGCGTATGAAAAGCAGTAGGCCTACTGTGCGATTCCTAGCCAACGTTTCGAATCACGCGTGTACTGTTGAAAAACGAATCGTGCAATGCTAGGACGTCATGAATGTACGCAGTAGCGCCACGTGACCACTATCAAATGACGACCGGCTGATCACCGATATGTTTGGTTTTGGGTCTGGAAGATCGGGTTATCAAGTAGAAGATTCGGTGGAAAATTTAATAGTAGTCTCGTCTCAGAACGTGCACATTTTTTCAATGTAATACTAATAGAACGCGAGTAGTCTGGCGAGGCTTTTACGCAAGGCAAACTTACGCGAGACTGCAGCGTCGTTTTTAGAGCAAAGCACAGTTGTTGTTTCTCGCAACGGCGTTAGTCGTTGACATTCATCTTTTCGGAAGTTGACTCGGAATCGGTCCCACAAACGCGAAACCATGACTTTACGAGTACACGCGACCAGGGCAGGCGTAACATCTACGCGACCTCTGTCCCGCCATGTCTGCGTTCATGTTCACACAGCCCCTCGCACGTTTGAACTGATCTCACGCAATATATACGTAATAATCTCACGCGATAATGAAATCCCACGCAATAATACGTGTAAGCGATCTCGAGTGATACAATTCAGTACGGTACGGGATAATAGAACGCAAATTACAATAGGGCTTCGCTGCATTGACACTCACGCATACGTAGGCCTATTGTTTCTGCAGAAGCCATGGCGATAGAATAATAATGTAAGTAGCGTAAGAAAAGCAATACAGGTTCGAATCCTGGTGTAGTGAGCATATAACAAAATTTGAACTAATATTAAATGTAGGTCGGTTCCACGTCAGGTTCGATGTTGATTAGTATAGGTAATGGTCTAATCTTGGACTTTAAAGAGATTATTATGAGGTTATGAAGTATATGATTGACTTAACGACAAAGGCTGTTTCGGTTCATATAACGAAACCGATAACCTCCCACTGTCCTTTTTCCATTAACTCGGCGAGAGAAATTTTTTGTTGCGACAGAGGTTTATTTGCAAATAGAACGTAACATCATAAAGATTACTACTTAAAGCACATGGAACTGTACCGAATGAGAAAGTCAAGGTTGAACAAATCGATAGATCAACCCTGAGGGTTGCAGTAGAAGTATCAATTTTACAATAAATAGGAAAGAACGCTAGTATTACGACAATATATTGTATACCTCTGGACAATTTATAAAACGAAATCACTGACAACCCTAACCCGAACTGAAAAGAATTATTAGCGTATACTAAGGCTGCCAGGGTCTATGTCTCCCTGGGTACTGCCGGAACGTACACTGGGTACGGTTCCGGTATACTGGAACGTACCCTGGTACTATCTAATATGCCGGACCGTACCTCGCCTACTCCACTAAAGAGTCTAGGGAGTCAGTCGCCTACGCCTACTCCCTAACCCTAACCCTATCAGATAGTTACCAGGGTACGTTCCGGTATACCGGACCGTACCCAGGGTACGTCCCGGCAGAACACAGGGAGACATAGACCCTATAAAGCACTATAACTTGAATAAATTTACGAGTAGCGTTTAAAGTCACATTTAAAATCAAATTTTTTATTGATTTATGTTTTCAAACGGATAATTAACTGCAAACGCAAACACAATATATGAGAATAACACTGCCGTATAAACGCTATATGTATTTGCGCAAAGGCGATCTTATGTACAAGGGCAAATTCACATTATAAGTAATATCAAGTTACAGTCAGACAAATGTATATTAGTAGGCATGTAACGTGCAAGTTTAATCCATACATTTATGCGTATTATAAATGGAAACGCGCACAAATAAACTCTTGATTTTAAAAAACCGGCACTCTAACAAAAATCCCAATCATCTAGTACACCTACCCTACAAACATACATTTTTTAACCTATCGGATAAAAATTAACAACATGTTTATGTAATTAAAGCACCATTTTAAAATCAACTAAGAAAACCCGAACCACTCCCACATTTTTCAATGCCACAGATTTAAGAAACCACTTCAATAATGTTAAAATAATTAGTTAAAAAAAACCAAAGCCCTGACCTTATTACCTCCGTGAACTGCGAAAGACAATAGCACAATTTCCACCGCTACTCTATAATTACTTGCATAAGATTTAAACATACGAGTAACAGCTTATGCAGTACAAAATAACGCAACATCAAGTAACAATTTACACTGTACAATCATTTAGAATCATAGACAAAGAAACCATCATGCCATAAACAAATGGTTCACGGATGAACAATATATACTCAAATCTCTGCCCTGCCTTTCTGTTTTAAGAAACATTCAGTCGCAGTATCTCTAAAAAAATCAATAAACACGTGTTGTCAAATGGTTAAATTAGCAACCAAAATGACAACAATTTTATATATTACCGATATATGCATGTATATATTATTACTAATATCAACAAGTTATTTACATCATTTGTCCACAAATTCATTTCCCAAGGCGAGTCAATAACGGTAGGTATAAGCATCTGTCACATTTTTCATGATTATCGGACAAACACTACCTCCCACCACTCCCCCCACTCCACCCCCTCTATGACGCTCATATAATTACCTCAGCCAAGGAAGTTATGTTTTCGCCCCTGTTCGTTTGTTTGTTTGTTTGTTTGTCTGTCAACAGGATATCTCAAAAAGTTGCGGACGGATTTTGATGAAAGCCAAACCAACCGAACGGCCGGTCTTGGGCCAAGAACCAAACGATTAGATTATGGTGGTGATCCGGATCCAGATCTGGATGCAGGATTTTTTTTATGGGGAAGACTTCGGACGCATTCAAAATTCATTAAAAAAAATCCTGGACCTTTTTTCTCTACAAATTTCTGAAAATTTCATCAAACTATATTGGGTGTACCAGCAAGATGGGGGGACTGTTATGCTGTGGCAGAGGTCTGCTATCTCCGATTGCTCTTGTTGCATCATGAAAACAACGTATCGAGCGATGACGCGTGTCCTCGCCACCAGCACCACGCTAGTTTTGAAGGCCATATGATGCTCATTCGTTCTGTTGTTTGTTGCTGCTGTTTAAATGTACATCACGGGCAGACGTACGGAACGCCGTTGGTTAGACCACGCTTAGCAATTTACAGCTCTGAACCAAGCGCAACAAATTTATCTGGCTTCCCTGCATATAGTATGTAGTTTACAAAAAAGGCGTTAATAGCATAAACCTTAAAACAGAGAGAGAGAGAGAGAGAGAGGGAGGGAGAAAGAGTGGGTGAGAGGAGACGGATTAGAGAGAGTAGAGAGCACGCAGGGATGAGAGAGGAGTGAGCGAGAGAGGACGAGAGAGAGAGAGAGAGAGCGTGGGTAGCGCGTAGGCAGGTATCCGAGAGAGACCGGATGGAGAGAGAGAGAGAGAGAGAGAGAGAGAGAGGAGAGAGAGAGAGAGAAGAGAGAGAGAGAGAGAGAGAGATGAGAGAGAGAGAGTAGAGAGAGAGAGAGGAGAGAGAGAGAGAGAAGAGAGAGAGAGAGAGAGAGAAGACGTAGAGAGAGAGAGAGAGAGAGAGAGAAGGGAGACCGTCCCGAGCAGGGCGTTGGGCCCCGGGCAACACCTCTAGACGCGGAGGGGAGGAGAGAGAGGGAGCAGGAGAGAGAGAGAGAGAGGAGAGACGGAAGAGCGAGAGAAGGCGAAAGGCATAGAGAGAGTAAATGAGCTGAATGAGAGTGTAAGCAGAGAGAGGAGAGAGAGAGAGAGAGACGAGAGAAACAAAATAGGAGAGAGAGGAGGAGAGAGAGAGAGAGAAAGAGAGAGAGAAGAGAGAGAAAGATGAGAGCGGAGAGAAAGAGAGGAGAGAGACGAGAGAGAGAGGAGAGAGTTGCGAGAACGAGAGAAGATGAGAGAGCGAGGAAGAGAGAGAGAGGCGAGAGAGCGAGAGAAGCAGTGCCGGAGAGAGATGAGCAGAGTAAGAAGTAGGAGAGAGAGAGAGAGGAAGCGGAAAGAGAGATACTAGATAAGGATATGATAGATAGATACGTGTAGAGGGAGAGAGAGAGAGAGAGATGAGAGAGAGGAGAGAGAGGCGTGGCGAGGACGACAAGAGGATAGAGAGAGATAGAGCAGTGGAGAATGAGAGAGGAGAGATCGAGAGAGAGAGAGAGAGGAGAGAGAGAGAGTAGAGAGAGACAAAGAGAGAGAAAAAGATAGACGGCGGTGGCGAGGAAAAAGCGAGCGAGACAGAGAGAGAGAGAGAGAGAGAGAGAACTGTTGCAATTATCTCCGGTGCAAACAACACGGCTGCAGTACAACGACCCTAGGTAGCTGTTGAACGCAATACCAGTGGCAGTGCACGCACAGCACAACGTGACTCTGGGTGACCGTGATGCACAAACGCAAACGTAAAGCATTCATAATTGCATTACATGAAACGAACAGGAAAACATTTATAGCTTTACGCTATAAAATTTTTTCTCTCTCCAGAATATAGTTAGGAGCGAATTACTGCTTCCCACAACGCCTGAATTAATGGTATTACCTGTAATGCTGTCATTGCGTGACATGCGGTAATACCAAGCGAATACCTGCATGAATACAATTCTTGGAATGAAATCAAATAAAAAAGTTAGTTAAAAGTTAAAAATCGCATAGGCTCATAAACAGGTTTACTACTCTACCATGTACTTTCCTATTTAAACTCACCTAAAAAATCACCCTACATAAGAGTCACTTACAGTATTGCTGCCATTGTACATACACTGAACAAACGTGCCATATATATATATATATATATATATATATATATAATTATTACATTATAAATTCAGTGGCAGCTAGTGTGAGTGCGCATCTGCAGAGAGGCTCACACCTGTATGTAGACGAGGTTTTAATGTTTTTAATTTTTTGGCTAAATTTATTCGATTCCCTATCATGGATCAATTGGACAATATATAAAAAACAGTCGGTCAGAATCAAAATAGTTTCTACATCCAAAGATGTATTAACGTTACACTCTACAATTAACTGTGCCTTCCTTCGCATGCTCACCTGTTTCGTTTTAACGTGCAGGCATTGAACGATATCATCTGTATTGTCATAACATCTGTGTAACTTCGTATACTGCTTACACAGTATTATTGAATAAATTAGTAAAATATCATCACGTACTAAAAGTGCCAATACGATCAGCTTAGCAGCGCTACTCGTGCCACGTCACCATCACACTCAAGGTCAAATGGTCAATAAAGGTCAGATGCACAGGTCGCCATGCACGTGTAAGGTCCCTGGTGCAAGAAAGGTCAATAGGTCACACAAGGTCAACGTGGGTTCGCTTGCTATCAGCTCGTGAAACATAAATCTCAAACCATCACCTACATTGAGTAATTAATGATGATTTTTTTGAATAAGGCACCTTCTACTCACAGAAGATTATTTTACAGCTCACTAAGGCACTAACCAATTGAGCAGGAGATAAAATGCCAAGGATTTGTGTGAATCACTCATCAGGCACCTTCAGAAACATGTAAATCTAACAATTGTAAACTTGCGCTTATCACGGCTTTAACAGTATAAAGCCTCTCAAGTTTGTGTGTGCATGAGAAACACACGAGGTGCACTTTAAAGAAAACAGTATGCGATTAAATTCCACATGCACTGGACAGTCGAAAGTAGTTCCCATGGTTCCAATTGTGTTCTTAACACACGTGGAAAACTTACACTGTCAGTTAGACTAACGACCATAGTGGTTACTTTCACAGCACTTGGAAGTGATCAGTACACCACAGGTATGGCTTCTTTAAATAGCAACTGGTGCAGTTTTTAACAATTTTTTAATTATTCAAGAAAATTTCTTTGAAGCCAATCGTCTACACAGTGAACCCTCATTAGAGGTCCACAAGATCTTACGTCACAACGGATCAGGTAGAGGGCAGAGAAGACAACCAGTCATCCAGCTTCCCCAATCGGTGATTAGTATTGTCCATTGTCACGGCATGGTCAACCAGTAGCTGAACAAACTCTATGTACTGATGCAAGACATCCTGAAATATCAACCATGATAAGAATTTATCTTGATGATAGTTCTTGATTATGGAATCACTATTTACAATATTCCTACTACCACTCGCTTCTGGAATAAAGTGCTGTATTGCATCAATTTTTTTAGTGTGATAATGGAATTTCCCAACAGGACTTTTCATTTGAACATAATTTGTTTTAATCGGCAATCCTATACTTACACAAGAAATCATATCCTATCACCCATTCAGTAATTGCCCTAATTTCAATTACGAATTAGAAAGTCATTTATAACAGAAGACTTATAAGAGAAAATGTGGTCTTAGTGACATATGAACGCTCATTTCTATGTTTATGCGCACAACATTAACTTACCTCACTCCAGTTGAACTTGCACACTTTAAAGCACTGTGACTCTACAGTGGAATAGGTGAGCAATTTCTCATCAATAAGTGAGATGACCAGATCTCCATACTTCCCCCAGGAATCCTGAAGGAGTAAAGCAATCAGTAACTGTCCATAGGTATGACATCAGACACAAGAATGGCGTGCACTGTATGAGAATTGGCTCAGCACAGATGCATGCTACAATATTAATTGGCAAGAGATACTTTTTCTATGTGACAATTACAAAATCACTTGTCCTTTAACGATGATTATCACAATGAGTATTCTGCTGAAATTCTGTTCGCGTGGCTAGCTTGGTGTCACCTTGATGCGGTTACTGTTAGACTGTAAGCAAATATTCCAACAGTCACTAGAGATCCTAGGTCACTAATAAGGGATTAGGAAAAACCTCAACAAGTTTTACTACATTGGAATATTGAGTAGAACTGTGAAATTATGCACCAATATTGCGCCTAAACTTGCAAGATATTATGACTGGTCAGAGAGATATTAAGACAGTAGTTCGTACGGCTGATAGGGTCTATGTCCCCCAGGGTACTGACGGAACGTACCCTGGTAACTATCTGATATGCCGGACCGTACCTCGCTTACTCCCTACCGTACCATGACTGTCCCTGTTCCACCCACTACTGATGTCGCAAAATTTGAAATATACATACAGACCTGTATGATATCTTTATAAAGTTGGATTGGAGTATGAAACTGTGAAACCAAGAAGAAATTTCAACCTATATACACTGATGCGCGCAATCCTATCGCGATGATCGGGAATGCGTTTTCCTTTCGCAATGTTTACGACATTTTCGCGCATTTTCGCGCGAGATTTTTGAAAGATGGCTCCAAGTGTTGTGGTCGAACAGGAAAATTTGTATAATTATCTTAATGGGTTGGAAGCGTATAGACTCGCTGACACTTGTAGAAAAGGTCGGGAGGTGAAACGTAACAGGGTAAGGGTTACGAATATTTTGCGGGAACGAACCGGAAACAAGGAACGGGAGCATAAAGCGGCGCGTTTCCTGTAGACAAGCGGTATGTATTACGACAACAGCTGAAAGTCAGGGTACGGTTTGGAGTAGGCGAGGTGCGGTCCGGCATATTAGATAGTTACCAGGGTACGTTCCGGTATACCGGACCGTACCCAGGGTACGTTCCAGCAGTACCCTGGGGGACATAGACCCTATCAGCGTTAGGCCGACAATTACTTTATCTGCTACTATCGCAGGTGCTGCTGCTATTACTGATGCTGCTGCTACTGCTACTATTGCCACCGCATCAGCCACTATGAGTGCTGCTGCTTCGTATATTTAGAATTGTGTTGGGAAAGCAGCAATGTAGAAGGCCAGTATAAAGCTGGTTAAGAGGAAAACCTCGTAGAAGTTTCTCTTTAATCTCCACCCCACCCCTTCCTCGCCCATTTTGACTTGTTGATGCCTTTTCAGGCGCCTACAAGCCAGCTAACAACATTGTAGGTTAAGTGCTTTCGATTCGTGCTGCTATTATGAACACGCATGCTGCCATTTATACAAGCTCCATCTCACATCAACGACAAACAAAAATTCATTCTGCTATAACTCGTCGCATGCAATGCATTACCTTTGTATCGTGTGATCGTTTTAATCTGTAGACGTTTCTAGGCGATATCACACTAGTGTGGGCATGAATGCCAGGTGAAGACGATACCCATAGGTTGACCAACTCTGCCCGTAAGCTACTGCACATACTGGAAGGCTGCACGCAAACTGAAAACAGGCACGATCAACTTTCAGGTGCGTCCAATGTAAACACAAAGAAACTGTCGTCGTTGTCTGCGAGGCGGTTAAAGACCGCCGTAGTACATTGCACGAATACGACCTAATGAATGACATCTGACGACTACATGAGAGGTTAACATTTGGTCGGTGTAAGTTGGCGTTTTACTGTAATGCTTCTATCTACTGCACAACAACTAGCGAACCAGTACAAACCTAAAACCCACTCGCGGGTCACTAACATCTTAGATCTACACCAAAGCACCGAATGATCAGTAGACATAAGTGTGAGTATGTGACGTTAAAACTCTGTTCATACCTAACGCAACAGCGAGTTCGACTGTTAGAAGGCTGAGGGTCATCTTTACAGCCGGCATCACGTTCTAAATGAAAACAAAATAGCATTGTGTCAGATAAACAGAGCCATTAAATGACAAAAAGACAAGAAACCGAGCAGTCGACCTCCTGCCCCTCCTCCGCCGCCACGCGTTTAAAGCCGAACATGTCACACAAGAGCGAAAAACTTTTTACCCCAATAATGAACTAGATTTAATGCTAAACTTTGGTATTATAGCATTTATGACAAAACATGTGCTTGCAATCCCACGCTTAATTGCGTAAACTGCAAGACTGATCGTAAATCATAAATAAAATACATAGCGCTACCATGAATTCCATGTCCTAGACATGTAGTCGTAGACATGTATATCACTTCCTTCATTCATCGTGAAAACTAGAACAGCCCCCCTATTCTGGTGCTATTGATGATTTACGATGACAACGTGAGCATGTTACTAGATAGATGAGCACAGCTGGACAATTGAACAGGGGTAAAATCAAGAGCTAATAATACCTCTTATTCTTAGCTTAATATACCAAGAGGTATTATAAGCTATTGGTATGATTAATATTAGAGGGGGAGAGGCTACGAGAATGCTTTCATCTACGCACGGTCAACTGCCAAGAACACAAACTGCATATGGCTATGCCCCCAGGCAATATGAGGTAGCTACAGCATCAAATTAGAAACATCGGTATTTTCAGACCTTGGATTACTATATAACTGTCAATTGTAGTAAGTAGTCAAGGTAAGGTAGCGACCATCCAAATAATTGAGCTATAATACAGTCAGTGTATAAAGATAAAATAGCAACCATCTGGATAATCTAATAGCTATAATGCAGGAGAGCTGTAACAAATTAACTCACTAACACCAATGTTCTTTGTTTTACGAATGAAATCAGAACAATTCTATACTGGATTGAATACACTGAAGGTACCATGTTGACGTGAGTGGATAGTGGGATATGCATAGTGTGCAGTACATGGTGATTACACATGCTAAAAGACAATTGTTTCCGTGATCCAACAATTTTAATAGTGAGGACAAGACGCTGAGCTAACCTAGGCATATACCCTGAATGCATCATGCGATACTTTGTCTAGTATCACAACGTTGAGCATGCTAGCTCTGATCGTTTACGAACCTCCAGCGCCACTGAAAATTTCAGAAAAGGTTCGATTTCAGCCAGGTTTGCTGTAATGGTGTGAAATACGGCACGGGCGCAGGGGGCGGGGAATATACGGTGGGAACTGGACACCTTCATTTAATACAGTTATATTTATCGATTACAGTTCTTTAGTCCTACGGTCCTACGGGTCGCTGGTCCTACGGGTCGCTGGTCCTACGGGTTGTTGGTCCTACGGGTCGTTGGTCCTACGGTGCACGCAGACACACGTAATTTTTTTCTTTTATTGTTTGTTCATTTTTTATTCATTTTTTACAATTCAATTTTAATTTAAAAAAAATTAATTTAATTTTTGATTAATTGTTTTAAAATTTAATTTTAATGCATTTTTTTAAATTTAATTTTTTTAAATTTTAAGTTACCCACGACCAACGACCCGTAGGACCAACGTGTCCTACGGTGCACGATACAAATAATACGCTGATGCACATTAAACTTATAATAAATGAATACTAACAATAAAAATATACACAGTGTATTTACACAGCAGAACTGCCTGTGTAGTCCGCCAAGGAACCTGGTAGGTTCACCCAAAGGTGAATGAAATTATTTTGAGGTGAATGAAACTAGACCAAAAACATAAGGAAATTTTGTCGTGGGACCAGGGTGAATGAAATTTTGTGAGAAGGTCTCGAGGGTGAATGACACTGAAATAGTTTAAAAAAAATTTTCTTCCTCCTCTTCCACTCCTGCCTGGTGCATACTTCAATCATAGTGAAAGGCCACATATACTGCGCATACTCAACTTTACAGCCCATCAGAGTCTGACGTTGAGATAAAGAAAACCCGGCATATCCTTTCGAGAATGTAAATGAGGAATGAAAAAGGCAAATCAAATGACGAAAACCGGGCGAAAACGTGACCCTAAACATCGAAGGTTAACCTGGAAAAAGTACTCCTTTTTCTAAAGACGACGCTACAGGGTCAAAATCCGACCCTTTTTCTACGTTTTCTCTGACGAGCATGCGTACCACCATACGCTGCATGATAAAAATTTAAACAGATACAATTAAAAATTTTAATTTAAAAAAATTTAAATTTAAAATTTAATTTTTAAACAATTTGGGCATTCACTCTACCCCTCTTACTAATAACCGTAAGACCAACGACCCGTAGGACTATAGATCGGTTCCCATATTTATCCACCTGTTTTTCTGTCATCACAGTCTGGCTTGCATTGAGCAACTTTACAAGATAAGGGACATCTTGTGTCTTTCCCTCCACTAATAGCTCTCGCATAACTGCCTGTAAAAAATAAGAAATATATTATCAGCTTACAAGCTTCATAGCATTAAGGTGATTTTTCGCTTTTTTCTCTCTCTACTTTATAACCGAAAAAAACACATCAACGCTTACAGAATCACACTGTTTCACAGAGAAACTAACTAGCAAACAATGACCCCTCCCCCATTTCTTCGACTACCACAGACATAAAAGACTATCCAATCAATGAAATTCGGCAGCATTACGGAGCAGTGCACCCTATGAGGCGCGAATCACCGCAACACAAACGCGTTTTTGCTAAATCGGGAAATTTTCCTGCCATCACGCAGATATTTATACATATACAACATTGAACTGCTGTGCGCACGCGAAGAGAGAAGCATCAGTGCATGCAGCGTGCACGCATGAGAGAGAGGGGGAGAGAGAGAGAGAAGGGGAAGGAGAAAGAGGGAGAGAGAGAGAGGGAGAGAGAAGGAGAAAGAGGGAGAGAGAGAGAGGAGAAAGCGAGCGAGCGAGAGAGAGAAAGAGGGAGAGCGAGCAAGTGAGAGAGAGGGAGAGAGAGAAAGAGAGAGCGAGCGAGTGAGAGAGAGAAAGAGAGAGAGAGAGAGAGGGGGGAGGGAGTGCGAGCAAGTGAGAGAAAGAGAGAGCGAGTGAGAGAGAGAGAGGGAGAGAGAGCGAGTGAGAGAGAGGGAGAGAGAGAGAGAGAGAGAGAGAGAGAGAGAGAGAGAGAGAGAGAGAGAGAGAGAGAGAGAAAGAGAGCGAGAGAGAGAGAGACTGTTCAATTATCTCCGGTGCAAAAAACACGGCTGCAGTGCAACGACCCTAGGTAGCTGTGGAACGCAATACCAGTGGCAGTGCACGCACAGGGGGAGAGCCCCTGCTATGAACTCGTGCTTGCAACGCCTACTCACCCTGAGCCGCGATATGACATCCGACGGCTGCTCAGCGGTGGCGACTGCGCGGCCCGGGTCGAGCGGCTGCCGCTGCTGTTGCTGCTGCTGATGTTGCTGTTGCTGCTGGTGTTGCTGCTGCTGTGGCTGCTGCTGGTGTTGCTGCTGCTGCTGCGGCTGCTGCTGCTGTGGCTGCTGCTGCTGCTGCTGCGGCTGCTGCTGCTGTGGCGGCTGCTGGTGTTGCTGCTGCTGCTGCTGCCGCTGCTGTGGCTGCTGCTGCTGCTGCTGCTGATGGTGTTGCTGCTGTTGCTGCTGCTGCTGCTGCTGGTGTTGCTGCTGCGGAGGCGCAGGGCGGGCACGGTGTGGGTCGTCCGCGGTGACGTGCGTCCTCATCAGCTTCTGCAGCTCACTCTTCAGCTCGGTCAGCAGCACATCTGAAACGGTCAGCGGTCGGAGGTCAGTGATCAACGGTAAGAAGTGGTCAGAGATCAGTGGTTAGCGGTCAGAAGTCAGTCGTCAGAGGTCAGTGGTCAGTGGTCAGAGGTCAGTGGTCAGCAGTCAGAGGTCAGCAGGCAGTGGTCAGAGGTTAATGGTCATAGGTCAACAGTCTCTGGTCAAAGATCAAAGGTCAACAGTGAGTGGGGCCAGAGGTCAGTGGTTAGCGGTCAGAAGTCAGTGGTCAGAGGTCAGTGGTCAACAGTCAAGAGGTCAGAGGTCAGCAGTCAGTGGTCAGAGGTCAGTGGTAAACAGTCAGTGGTCACCGGTCAGTGCATGGGGTACACTGCACAAAACTGGGACAATGCGCACAGTGGTCGACGGACGATGGACGATTGCCCAAAACCCATAGGATGGGAAGATTTTCTTAGCGGGCGGGACGGAGGGAGGGGAGGAGCGCAAAATTACACGCTCGCAGAATTACGCGCTCGTAGAATATTCGCCGGGTTCGGTGCGTTAACGACGCACAGCGGGTAATGGGTAACTGCTAGGATCCAGAGTCTCATCAAAATTCTGATCCGGATAAAATTTGATCAGGGTTGAGAAACGGGAATGGACCCTGAGGATTCCAGTTACAACTATTGATCCTCTACGATTTTCTTTGATCATCACAAATTTCTTTCGATCACCATCAACAAAGTTGTTTCTCAAGCCTGATCAAATTTTATCTGGATCAGGGAAGACAGGATCTTTATCTGGAGACGGAACTGGAGTTGAAACCACCTCTGCGTCAGGATCAGATCTATTGCTTGAATATGGACGATCAGGATAAAGCTATTCCACAGTCCACTACTGGACAGACCGGACCAAGAATTTTCGAAAAATATTTAGGGGGCAAAAATGCATTTACTAACAACCTTATAAATGCATTAACAGAGAGTAGCTATACTGGGCAATTAATGATTCCATTTTAGCTGTGCTGTGAAAGCACAGCAACACAAGTACTGCCAAGGCACAATTGAAGTCAAACGACTACAACAAATATGCAGCACGATAAAAAGCTCATTCAGGGCGTGAACAATGTACGAACACAAGCAGGTAATTACTAGGATTTTTTTCATTTTTTTCTCAGGGAAAGGGAGTTAACTTTTACACAGTTGTACTGTTGTACTTGTACTGATCGAGTTCCATGAGTGTTTTTTCACTACATTCTCCGCATAGTGATGTAAATATCATAGGGCTCAGTATAGAGCTACTGCTATTGTCAGAGTAGGCAATTGATAAATTCACTGGTAAACCCTATGTAACCTCCAGCCAAACTTTACTACTATTATACTACCATTACTGTTAGAATATTATGACTTGAGATCACGAACTAGTATACCCCTGTTGCTACTAAACCATCACGATCACCAGAGCAAACACGCTACCTTGATCAGGGGGCGTAACTCATTGCGGCTGGGGGCGAAACTATGGGCGGTTTGCATTCTGGGGAGTTGACCGGTGGCAGGCAATTCGTCACCGACCATGTACGTAGTAATTTACATTTGTCTGCACCCCCCCTCCCCGTTAGAAATTCTAAATGTCAGGTGAAACAAAGAACGGATGCGCTTGCTCGATTGAAAATGTTCTTCGCCCACACATTAATGCTGTTTCCCGTCATTGTGAGCGATTCAGATTGCGTGCATAATCCAACCACACTAAGAAACCGGATTCCCGTAACATTTCCAGTAAGCTTCCCCCGACGACCGACTTAGAAAGGCTGACCCACAAACAGTATATATATAGAGCTCCTGATAGAGATATATGCGATCACGAGACAATGCTACGGAGAGCTTGGCGGACGAACGAGCGCAATCTGAAATGCGATTATAGAGCTACACGGAAAACTAATCGGCCTATCTCACCCTGCAACAGCTGCCGAACCAAACTGAAACTGAACATCTGTTTACCCAACACGGATGGAAAGGATGAAAGGATACGTGACAGGGCACTAAAGTGATGAGCACATGGATTAAAATGGGGGGAAGGGAAACAACCAGACGTTAAGTTAAGTCTTATTCAAAATCCAAAGTAGCCAGTGAATGCTATCGCATATATAGCAGTGGTTGCTTAATGATTCACAGTTTGTGAAGTAACTATCACTCTGCACTATGCACTACTGCTATTGATCATGAATCATTTTGCATATTCTATCCGAATTCAACTAGTCAGCATAACAAAACAGATCGCAAAGCGTGACTCTCAGAGTAGATCTGACAGACGTCATAACCACCCCAACGTCATGTAAATGTTTATTATAATTAATAATATTAATCGGTTTATAGTTACTTGGCACCAATTTATAACTAAAAACGGTGGCATAGCGTGTTAAGTACGCTTCATTGTCGTAAAATGGGATTTCGTTGATTTGATTCAAATCTCTATCTTCTTGATTCTCTATTGATTAAAAAAAGACCGTCAAATTCAAACTCCTCCTCCTCCTCCTCCGCCTCCTACTTAAACATATGTTCTACCTCATCCTCCTCCTTAAACATCTGCTCCTCCTCCCCCATTTTAAACATCTGTTTCACCAAGCTAATAAGCAAAGAAGCCAGTAGAACTATCAAAAGCAAAATGTATGACACACGTCAAAAGAGCCAATGCGATTAGCTATTGGCTCATTTCGATACGTAACATTTCGCAGCCATGAGAGCGTCAATAACAGTGCATGTTGATAGGTGTGAAGATATATATTTGGAAGTGCACATCGAGATCATGTGACTTCATGTGAATGCACTTAGTTTGCATGCGCTAAGAACGAGTTAGTTGAGATCTGAGTATTTCCGAATAAAAAAATTTCGTAAAGAGTAAAGTTTAAACACATCAAACTATCTTGATTCATGCAGAGTGGATGTTGAACCTATGAATATATATATACCCGGGATTTCCAGAGGCAAATGGCAGCTTACACCCCGAAGTCTCAGGTGTGTGTGTGCGTGCGTGCGTGCGTGCGTGCGTGTGCGTGCGTGTGCGTGCATGAATCAAGATTGAGGCTCTATTTAATGTCTCTGTAGATAAGTGAACCATGGTCGCACGTCATCAGAGTGGCACCCTAATAGAAGGCTATAATTCGATAGTCAGATGAAATCGACGCACACACCTTTCCCGATCGTACTGCAACCGAATACAACAGTGAGTCAGCCAGCGTAACTGCCGGCGAGAGTAGAGGAAGGGAGCGGGAAATTGAGCCACAGGGTGTAGGTCCTCACACACCTGTGACAGCATGGTCTCTACTCCATGCTGCAAATTCACGCTCGGCAAATGGCAGCTTGGCCGAAAAGTCTTAGGTGTGTGTGTGTGTGTGTGCGTGTGCATGCGCGCGCGCGCGCGAATCAAGATGAATGAATCAAGATCGAGGCTCTATTTAATGTCTCTGTAGATAAGTGAACCATGGTCGCACGTCATCAGAGTGGCACCCTAATAGGAGGCTATAATTCGATAGTCAGATGAAATTGACGCACCCCCCTTTCCGAGGGGAGCGGGAAAATTGAGCCACAGGGTGTAGGTCCTCACACACCTGTGACAGCACGGTCTCTACTCCACGCTGCAAATTCACGCTCGGCAAGATTCGGCACTCGACGCGATGATTTCGAGCTTCCGCGGTCCTAATTTCGCGGCGTATTCGCACGAGTCACGTACGAATACCGAGGGCGAGTCCGGACCATTGTAAAAGGAGGAAAATGAACATTCACGCTCTGACGACAGCGTCGACCGTGCCCTGAAGCCTTAGCCGACGTTCAATCGCTCGACCCCCCTACGCGATAAACGCGTGGATCTCAGGAATAGCATCAAACAGCGAGTTCGCTTGGAAAACGACCGATGCGTCGGACAACACACGAAAATATATGACGGGGGGGGGGGGTACGATTCGAATCGGTCGCCTACAGAAAGGAGCTACAGAACACAGCGGTCAGCCCTGTGAGAGCGGCCGCAGCACCGATTAGGATCACCGCTGTGTTACTACTCACTGAAGCCTAGGTTGGTCCTCATCCAGTGTGCCACCTTCTCGTCAGCTAGCCTGCAAGCGATCTCCACGCACGCAGCCATCACCTGATCGTGCGTCTCCTCTGACAACAGGGCCGCGAATACGACGCCGAGCCTCTCCCGACATTGCCTGCGGAGAGAGATGCGTAACGCACACGTGAACAATGACGCAGTCATTTGCACTGATTGCATAGATGCTGTAACCATGGTGATTAATGTGATCGGTAATGATATAACGGGGTGGCCCGCGCAGCCAGAAGCCAGGGCGGTCTCTAATTGCGCGCACGTCGATGCATTCCGCGAACGGAAATTCTCGTGTGAATGGAAATCCACTCGCCGACGTGATGATTTGATAGAGTGTCGTCTTGCTTACGAGTAGTGATTATACGTGGGTTGAGATGACTCTGCAAACGCAACCAGGTGGTGGTACGAGATGCATTCTGGTTTCAATACGGTTACCAAGAAATTTTCCGAATAGTTTCATGCTCTTTTGACGTTATTTTGGCTTACGATTAGGGAAGACCAACACGACGTCACAGCATGCAAATACAGCCGAACCACGTAAACGTGAACAACGTCTCGCGAGCGTAATTTAGAAATTATTCTCGACACGTGTGCCGATGGCCGGTGCATACGTTTTAGAAGTCTGGGCGGCACGCAGATCCACCTCTGTCTTGTACGTTTGGGCAGCGGCCTGAACCTCTTTCGCTGATGCTTCCTGAAATGAACAATTCACATCGCGTTAAGTCACAAGATGTCTGCGGCAAACCCAGGCGAACCGCCGTTGTCAAATTTAATATCGCCGTTGTGAAAATGTTCCTGTATTTACCCGCCGTTGTCAAAATAGTGTTAACCCAAAAATGAGTAGATCACCACGTGCTTCTGGCATATTTAGATTGCCATGCGCGTTTATTGAGTCATGTAACGCGGGGTCTACACTCCTACGGCACGCCTTTGAATCCATCATGCGCGTGTTTTCCCAAACTGGCCATTACCTCCTTTGTCTAATTTTCCCTCAGAAGAAACCCTGAAACCATAGGTGGTCTTGTCAATTAACTCAAACCAGGCACCACCATCTACAATGCTGTTAAGCGTTCACGCACACTGCGACACTCTGCGCAAGAGAACGTCTTTATCCACATGGAAACAGCGTGACACTTCCGAACTGTCCCATCTGCTTGGAGTGACTGACAGGTAGCTTCGCCCAATCAGTACCGTCACGGGGACATTCTGAAAACGCTGCCGAGCAACGAAGTGCCGCAAAGTCGACGACCAGGCACGCGCGAAAGACGCGCACAACACGGGCTCGACCGCAAAAGCAATGGTATCCAATTGGGGTTCAGGGTGGATGCGCGGGGGCGAGATTCCACGGCGGAGACTCGCACACTCACCGGGTTGTCGTGGCCATGCCGCGCGACGACGGCGCGCACCTCCGCCAGCGCGGCGGCCCGCGCAGATGGCAGCACGTGACGACGCAGGTGCTTGAGGACGCACGAAGCGACGCGTTCGGCCGCAAAGTCCACGCACTGCTTCGTCGATGGCGGGTGGTTGTGAAAGAAACTCTCCTCCAGCTGCAGCTGCCGACAGAACAAAAAGGGGACGTTTATGCGCGAGGGCCCGAACGACGGGGGACCGGTTCGCGCGTGCGGCAAACTGGAAACGGGAAGCGATTCGCGACGCTGTCTTTCGTTTCTCTCCCCTGTTTTAATTCTCCCGCTGTTTACATGTCATTTCTTCAGTGGCTCTGAAATGTCACTGTGACAAGTAGCATGGTGCTTGCACTTGGTGTTCGCACTTCGCGAATTGATACATTCGCAAATCATGTGACACTTCATGCAAATCATGTGAATGTGCGATTGTAATTCTACGATAAAGCTACGCATAATTTACTATTCGCTGCGACCACTAACGTATGTTTACGCTAGAACTTGACCTTGATTGCAGAGATGCCCAAAGCGAACAAAGTCAGCTTGTTTTAGTAAAGTTAGATTTGAATGAGAAATTTGGCCACAAATAATTTTATACAGTCTAATCACTTATCAAAATTACCGTGAATACAACGTTTGACATACAGGTATGGTATGATTTAGGGGCGACAGATGTGCTGTTGCCAAATTGGCAACTGGTAAAAAGATTGTGTATGCATTATACATAGTGAGAGCTACACATGTGCATGTATAAGCAAGCCCAGTACACCCATGCTGTGAAACTTGTTTACGTAACGTAAACCATGCAAAATGCACTCCACACGTGATAAACCCAAGAATCACAATATCACGTCGCAATAACATTTTCAGCAAAACATCGGAGCATACAGCAACTAGCCATTAGTGTCTAGTTTCAGATGCCACGCTGCGCAGGCAGCTCTCTCTCTCTGTCTCCACACTGCAGTAAGCCAATATTCGATCCATTTGCGGAGTTGCGTTACGATAAAACCCAACACAGTTCAGACCACCGTGTCGCTAACCTGTAGCTGACGCTTTGTCGTCGAGTTTGGATCTGTTGTGGGTGCAGAGATTGGAGTGATTTTCCTGACGACATTGCTCTTGCTGCCGATGCCGGCAGAAAACTCGCTCAAGAGTTGTCTCACGTCGCCTGTAACAAAAGAAACGATGGCTTAGCACAGAAAACATTCACGATGGCGTATCAGCGGTAGTTTTTTTTGGTGAATAAACGAAAGTAAATGGCTAGACAGAAATCAAGATTACGAAATAAATTTTCGTCACGATTTTGTACTCATGATACACGTACGTCATAAAATTGACGGAAAAAATCTACTTCCCCCGCGGGGTTTCGGGTTTTACGTGTAAAACTACTAGCAAGGTGCGTACGCGATTTCTACCTGCGGGTTCGTGTGCCTTCTCTCACAGTGGGGTGCATTTCAGTGAGGTCAGGCAGAGTACTAGCAGAATACTGAGTGAATAAACATGTTTTGTTTTCCATTGGAAAAGTGCATAGTTACTTTCAATTTTCTGGCAGAAGCCCTGCTTGTCGTGCAAACATGTTAATTTTGACGATTGCTTACCGTTGCTCTTCAGCCTCAGCAGTGTCAAGATTTATTGAAATAATAAAGCAAGATCAAGGTGGAATGGCCCGAGTAGTTCAGTAGTTCGCAAAATGATACGTATCATAATGCACCTTTGGCGATACGATATCTATCTATTGAGGAAATTGTCCTTTTACACGTAAATTAATTTAAAAATCTCATGAAAATGCTTAGAAATCATTATGGAGTGATTGCAAAACATACAAATATCTCTAACCACGTAAGTCTAAATTGCAACTGAAGCCAAGAGTTGGTGGTGTTTCTTTTGTTTGATTTTTTAATATCCTAACCTATGCGGTAAACCGTTGACCAAGTTGTTTTATTTTGTAGAGTATAGATATGGGTATCGGGAATGTTCAAATGTATAAATATGTGTATCATTAAGGTCTCTATTGCAATACATCAATGTATCTGTGCATCGCCCCCCCCCCACCCTGATAACATCAGGAGCGTATAATATAGAGATATCTCCACAATATACACTCTTGATAACATTTATACTGATGTTTTGAAACAACAATTAAATGTGAAGAGTGAATAGTGGATGGCGTGTCGGTGATGCGATGTGAATTCTACCAGCTTACCGAGAAAGGGGCAGCACGTGTAGAGAATCTGATGGTCGATCAAGTCGCTAAACACGTCCTGAAAAATTATCGCCAACAAGGCTCAATACTTAGCAGTGGTTTGATATGTCATCTACGCACTAGCGTAGATTTTCGAGTTTGGAGAGTTTCCAAGAGGAACAGATAGACTGTACTACTTAAATATGAGATGTCAAAATGAACTTAATTTAACCAATACCAGTCTGAGTATGTATGTAATGATTAATTAATCATTAATTCAATAACTGAAACGTTTTGCATTACAGCAGCATAAGTATACCTCGAAAAATGTGTCCACATGATTAAACATAATTTCTAGTATTGACATTGAAGAATAAACACGTGAAAATAACATACACTTACTATTTTATCAAGTGATTTTTCAGGTTCTGATTGTAATTCCAATCCAAGCCTCTCAAAAAACAGTGTCTCAGGAAACACAGGCAGCTGAAGTAAATAGCAACAACCAGTTAATTCAATCATCAATAAGACAGAAGCACTAGTAAATATTCGTAATATCACAAACCTAGGCATACATGTAAATTCATGGTAGTGTGAATAGGAAAATATTAGTACTAGAAAAAACCCTACTACGCTGATAGAATTCTGATCTAGTATACTGTGATAGTTGTAAAGTATTTCAGACGTCTTGGGTTTCCATTTGTATTGAGGTTCCATTTACATGTAATCATTACTCAAATTATCTTAGCTATAGCTTTAAAAAAAAGTCACGATTGTAGATGAAGATATGTCAAACAAAGTCTGAGGTACCAACACCAAATCATTTTGTGTGGAAATATTAACCTCAAAAAGCCAACCGAGCACCATGGTTATGAGGAGACTATTCAAGCCGAACCCTTCTCTTCTTATACGATGACTTTTTGACCTGCCAACAAAATAAAAGCGGTTTTAGAACAGAAGCCAGATTCCTAGAACAACATCCCTACATACCATAGCATCGACAAGTCCGCTTCCAGCCCAGTAATGTAATAACATGAGTCAAAATGATCTAACGCCATAGCAAATCAAGCAACGTAATGATATCTGTCAGAAGGACGTAACTGCACGATAAATTCGGAAACCCAAACGACATCACGTCATATGCCCAAGCAGCACTGAGGACTGGTCTCAAACTCTACTCGACTGTGAACCGTGGGCGGCAGTGCATGGCGCGTCACGCACCGGTATATCCGCAGCAGCTGCTTCAGCACGCGCTCGTAGTATTCAAGCTGCGGTGCCAGGGGGTCCATCATGCTCAGGTATTCGACGACCCAGGGCAGCGTGAGCACGCAGCGACCGTGTTCGTATGCTCGCCGCACACACTGTAGCACGTCCACGGGTGCCACAGCCTGAAAGAAATTACGATTAAAAAATAACCATAAAATTACGAGCTGCCAGCAAGGAAATCGCCATCTGGAGGATGAGCAGCCCAGAAGAGAAGTGCACTACAGTAACAAGATTATCGATTTATGTATATATATATATATATATATATATATATATACAAATATGTACGGGTATTATATAATTCATGTATATGTCATATGTATATATATATGTGTGTAATATATAAATGTATGTATGTACGTGTATTATATAATTCATGTATATGTCATATGTATATATATATATGTGTGTATATATATATATATACAAATATGTACGTGTATTATATAATTCATGTATATGTCATATGTATATATATATATGTGTGTATATATATATAAATGTATGTATGTATGTATATATATATAATATATATTGTATTATTTATGTTATATAATTATTTATGTCCGTGTGAATGTCTGTGTGTGCATTCCGCTGGATCAGCTCTCAGCTGTTTGTTCTCTCCACAGTTACACATTTGCATCCAAGAGATGGCGCTATCTCCTTTTAATTTGCCCTCTGCAGACGATAGGACATGCTTCTGGCAAAAAAGAACATGTTACGAACAGAGAAGTTTGATCATGCCAAGTATTGCACTGCCTCCAAAAATTTGGTATTATTAAAAACCATTGTGACATCTTAGAATGCTTCATAACACATATTACTCAAATATGGTTCATATTATTCTGTATACGAAATTTTTTGCATACATTAAAATTCCTCCGAACAATGGAAATTGTTGGAAAACATACCTAGTTCTACAATTTACTCCTTTTGAGTATGAACTGAGCATGACAGACACTGGGATGGCAGCTTTGTTGCACAGGAGGCTGACTCTAGCTACCTACAGTGAACTAGTTTAATTGTTGCAGGCAGTGCAATTAATTGGCAGGATCAAAATTCTTTATTCGTAACACGTGTTCTTTCTATGCAGCAGCATGTCCTATTGTCTGCTGTGCAGCAGCTTTGCAGAGGACAAATTAAAAGGAAGTAATGCCATCTGTCGGACGCAAGTTGATAAATATGAAACAAACAAACAGCCAAGCTGACCCAACATAACAGTCTGTGTGTGTGCGTGCATGCATGTGTACGTATGCATGCGTGTGTGCACTTACACGTGCGAGCGCATGCACTCGCAAGCGTGTGCGCGTGCAGAATATGCACCATGTACAAGAAAATGCATGCGCGCACACACACACAGACTGTTATGCTGGATCAGCTTGGCTGTTTGTTTGTTTCACATTTATCAACTTGCCTCCGAGAGATGGCATGACTTCCTTTTAATTTGCATATTCATCGCGCATCGTTCAGCGTTCGCACGCCGCTGCGACGTCGAGCGGTGGCCTACCCTGCTGCGTGTCGCCACGAGCGTCTCCTTCAGTGTCTCCGGCAGCCGGTCGGCGCCGGCGTAGGGTAGGAAGACGACGAAGCCGACAAACTTGGCGAGCAGACGCAGGTTGAGCAGCGTCGCTGCAAACTGCTCCCTGTCCTCGGCGTCGACGCGACGCGGCGACGACGGGTCGCCCCCGCCCTCCTCCCTCTCTTCCCCTTCTTCCTCCTCCTCCTCACCAACCCAGAGCTGCGCGGAGTCGAGCTGAACGGGAGAAGCAGGGGACAGTGTTAGATGGTGGCATTCGTGGAATCCAATGCTCGTGGAAGTACAGTAACGCCCGTGGAATGCAGTTAATGCTTAAAGAATGGTAGCTAACGAGTACGGAACGTCGCTAACGCCCACGGAACATCAGTTAATGCTTGCAGAATGTCGGTATCGCTTGCAGAATGATGCTAACACTCACGGAATGTCGCTAACACTCATGGAATGTCACTAACAACCACAGAATGTCCGTAACGCTCACAGAATTCTGTTAACTGCTACGGAATGTTTGTAATGCACGTGGTATGTCAGCAGTTGCACAACGTTAACATACATGGAACATCACCAACTCCTACGGTATTTTGTTAGCCGTTGCAGAACGTTGTTAGCACTGGCGGAATTTCGCTAGTGGAAACAGACCATCATTGTCACTAATGAAACGCTGACAATACTGGTGTTTCACAACGTCACGCTCAATCTAGGGTCCCTATATACAGAGAGTTGCGCCATGACGAGTCGGAAAAAGATGGTCACGTGGTCGCTGGATGACATGTTGTTTCCAAATAGATACGCACGGTTATGGCCATAAGAAAGTGTACAATTAAACTATCATATGGCGCGAACGATTTGAGTTACATTTCTAGAAATCTAGATACACATAGACACATGTCTTAGCTATAATCTCTGTAAATTTTGAGTTTATTGAAGCACGATTAGTCTAATTAATTACTACGGACCATTGTACAGCGTATCCATACAGCGCTGTACTTAAGCGGCAGCGTTGTGGATCCATTTGGAAACAACATGGAGTCAAATCCTGAGTTGGTGCAACTCTCTGTATATAGGGACCCTAGCTCAATCTAGTCGCACCTCTTCCCGACACAAAAAAGCTGTCGTCCGTCTCGACTAACAGTCGCTTGTGAATGGCATGCGCGTACAATACCTCCAAGATCTTTGAGCTGAAGCTGTCGAGAATGTGCTGGTTGAATGAGCGGCTGTCGGAGATGACAATGAAATCTCGGAAGAATTCCTGGCAACCAGGAAAACACGGCGGGGGACAGGGCCCGCCGACGGCCGACGGCATCACAAACCTGTCTTGCAGCCTGAAAAGACAACAGCCACGATAAAAGAACTTTTTCAACGTGCCGATGTGAAAGACGAGCAATTTGTGATTACCGCGGACGCAATTGCCCCCAACTTTCGCATGTCACGACACATGGAAATTGCTCGGTGTTACTGCTGCCACATGCAAGTTATAGTTGTGGCACACTACGGAATTTACGGACAGCCAACAACGTATACATAGCAGCTTGCTTACCGTACTCGAGCTGTACGATAGTATTAACAGATGTATCAGACAAAGACCCTGCCGTACCTTTTAAATTTTTCTGGGTTATCTCGCTTCAGGTCTTTCAGTAGACCAAGTGGGTCACTGCTGTTACTCGTCTGCACTGTACTGTTGTCTCCCTTGCACATCTGCGTAAATACACAAACAATATTGTTGAAGTGATTACGTGACCGTAAATAGTAAAAGTAACAAAAAAGGTTTCCACTTTTTCACAAAATGTAAGTAATTCTGTTCACTTTTTATGGTTAAATTGCTGCATTATACTTCCTATTTTACTATATTGTTCGATGTAAACATACACTCGTGACTCATACATATCCCATAGCAAGCAATTAATGTCAGGATCATAATGTCAAATCGTCCAGGTTTTTTGGATTTTTAACTAGTTGAGAAACAATCTTATCAGGTAAGAATTTGATGATATATTTAGTCCCATTAGACCTTACTTTTAATGTAAATTTTTTTTTACAAAATACACCAGAAAATTCGTGACGTAGTCAATTTAAACACGCAGAATGCTAGGATTCGTAGGAGGGCTCCACTAGAGAACAGCGAGCAACACATTGCTCTACCACCTGAGAGACAGTACAATTTATCCCACCTTAAAGTGATTACGTCATGAATTTCTAGCACCATCAAGTAGTATATTTGTGTGTTATTTGTACAAAATAAAATGTATGTAAATACAATTAGTGTTTCTGTTTACTTTTCATGCTTATATACCTTCTTTATATGCCCTAATTTGCCAGTGAAAAACAGAGAGACGCCAGTATCTGAACAGTACTGGGGGAATAGTGTTAGACAACAGAAATTACCAAATCGTCTAGATTTTTACAAATTTAACCAACGTAAAAACATTTTTATCAGGCGAGAGTTTGAGGATATATTTAGTAACGTTAGTTCTTACTTTTAATGTAAAAAAATGGCTATTTTTTTTTACAAATTTTACCATGGAAAATTCGTGACGTAGTCAATTTAAAGGCAGCATTTTGTTGTTCCACGCTAACCGGCCGTTCCGGCAGCGTATCGCCGTGCAGGCACCGTCTTGCACTTACCGTGATCAACTGCGCCTGGAATAATCGGATGAAGTGCAGCTGATTTGCGAGGTCATCCGGCGATCTGATTAAACCTTTGATTTTCGCTCCGAGTGCATCATTCATCGACCAGCCGGGCGTCGTGTGGTGCTCCTCCCACTCACGTAGCAGCTCATAAAAGCCATCTCTGCATAAGCAGTCAGCAGCGCATTAATTTGGTGAAATATATATATATTGTATATTGTATTTGTATTAAATATGTATATAATTGGTGAATTCTCATTGTACTACTTTTCATTAACAAGATCCACTCGGTCATGGTCGCGCAAGTTGTCATGCTTTTTGCTTTCACTTTCATGTTTCTACCCTTGCTGTGTTCCAAGCTTGCACACCATTAAAATATTTAACTGCAGGTGAGTCTATTTTTCTTTTGAAGCTTTGGTAACGAATCACTATTCCAGCTTAAAGCACTTTGTTGCGATTAAATTGGGAGTTTATTAGGCTGCGTACCAGTTTTTACTGATAAGTAATAACACAATATGAGCAAGATGTGGTTTTATTAATTGCTGCAGCATGCTCACATTCACATTTGACACAATTGTCTGCACCGATTCTTTGTCATTGCATTAGCTGATTAACTACGGAAATTAATTAATATAAATGGTGATTTTATTTTATTTGACTGTAACTGAACTAAAACATGACATTTCGAAACCCTTTATTATTTAAATGACTAAAAATTACAATCAGGTAATCGAGTATTATTCATGAATAAACAAGACCAACTTGTGTCAACACCACGAAAGCCAGTGCAAGCAATAACGTAACCTGTAGCAAACGCTGTCAAGTTTTAAGATAAGTTTTTTATGTATTTTTTTATATTAATAGAAAATAATTCCAAACCTTTGTTTCCTAAAGAGATGGAAGCACCTGTCGTTAGGAAAGTTCTTCCTATTATCAGTGTCAGCTTGAAATGACACACTTCCAACGGGAGAACGAGGCAACATTGTGGTCTGTAAGCAAATATAAACAATATATTTTAATTTAATTTTAATTTAAATCAATCGGTCCTGTACCGTTTATGGTGTTCAAACAAACGTGACATGACCTGCTCTGTTATCGACTAGACTCATAGAAACACTTACTTTATTGGTGCAGTTCTCCCATGTCTCTCCAATCGTAGACTTTAGTTCTGGTGCAAAATCTGCTATTCGGGGATTTTCTAGTAAGAGCTTCAATGTGCCTTTATCTAACAAGGTAACCAATCTGAAATATTAAAAAGCCATAACACAATCACTACACATGCAAAGTATCACACACAAAAAACCCGTGCTGCCATCTTGTGCAAAATTAGGCAGAATGCGTTATATTTTCTGATGACGGATTGAGCCTGGAAAAACCATAACTAAAGCGGTCTCATCAGAAGCATTAACTGCATGCTTTTAAGCAATATATATTACCGTTGAAGATGAGTCAAAACTCTGATAGCAAAATACACACAATTGTGCACCGTAGCAAAATAGTTGACATCTTCATCACTCTCTACAAAGTAAAAACAGATGGCACATAATTAGGTAAAGTATGTGTCTACATTTGGGGTCAAAATGTTGTAATTATTTTTAAAACCATTGTTTATGCTCAGGATTATAATTAAAATTTTATATTTAAAAGCAAGACAGAAATATTTTAACATGTCATACGATTACAACAGTTATGCTTTTTCATGTACCCTGTAGTAAGAACATTAACATATTTGTGAAACAATAGATTGTATTCTTACATTTAAAAAATTATAATGAAATGTTGATAGAAACACTTATCTAGAATGGTTACATATGGCAATGATAATTAGCAACAGCAAGCAAGCTACATGTTACAAACTTATTACAGATATACAAACCACTGCTAGAGCTGATACTACACACGTCGGAGTCCCAGCCTGGACATGTTACCAGTTGTATCAGCAAATGTAACTCAACTGAGACATTTGGTAACAGGTTCTCTGGAAAATATCAAAAATCAAACATCAAATATCATGCCCACACGAACACACACACATATAATTATGTTGACCATAATTTTTTTTAGTTTCGCATACTTTGGATCACGGTATTTGTTACAGATATACTACTTGCAACGTGAAAAGCGACAGTCATTGGCACGTGCAAACGTGAAAAGGGAAGCGTAGGCAAATCTAATCCTCACCAGTGATGAGAGAAGCATGTACGTGAGCCATTGCTTCTAACTGCTCTCGAAATGTCACTTCCTTCACAGTCGCCATCGTTATTTCGCAAACGCCGTTCATCCGGTCGATTCCTCCCTTCGTGGGCAGCGGTGATCCCTTGGTTGGTGTTACGGAGCTTTTGTAGCTGGGTGCATTGTTTCTGCTCCAAACATCGTCGACCTGTCTCTTTGCTCGCTCCTGCCTAGTGAAACATTACTAGTTAATGTACTTTTGTCTTTATATGTCTGCATACAAAAATATGTGAAGTTTCTAAGCGGAACTATACGTTCAATGGGGTAATTCTTACATCGCTGATGTCATACAATAACATTAAAACGCTAACACAACTTCGTCTACGTACAGTATTGTTTGCCATTATCACATTTAAACTCGTCCATGATTTGGGCACACATAATATTTTCCTGGGGTAAAACAGGTGAGCAAGTAGCTTTGTAGAGCAAAGTCGAAGTGATAACATACCAATGCATAGCAGTTGCCTGTAGGCTGTAGCATTACGCTCTACAGGGAGCCAAAAGAATAGAAAATACTTATATATATTCGTACTTCAGCATTTCTCTCTCCTTTGACAAGTCCAAGGAAACGTGGGATATATTATTTGCTTCCTGGAACTTCTCGCTATGGTCTGTGCTCCACAACACGTTGGCCTGATCAGTTGCTTGGAAGCAATTACGCACCAACTTCTTAACTGGAGTGGGAGTGATTCTTCTCGATGGAATTATCGTAGGCGTCCTAAAAAAGATATTTAAGCAAAGCATACAAACCACATCCCTGCACTCTTTGACAATTGTAGAGTGAATGAACAAGTAGGAATTATCAGTAATAATGGTATAAGGAATAATGATATACGGTGATGTGGACTGTATAACGTGACTAAACATATTCATCTGTACATATCTCAAAAATTATAAAAACATACTTCCACTAATACTTGACGACCTTTCAAAGGTTGAAGGCTATCATGAATTTCATGCTAAGACCATTAAGTGAAATAGGGCATTGCACCCGGCAAGACTTCCTACAAGATTTGACGAAAAAATAACTTATGAAGAACTGCAAGCCATCTTGAAAAACCCCACCCACACTCCAAACCTACCCACTTCCCGCCATCCAAACCTACCCACTTCCCGACCTCCAAACCTACCCACCTCCCACCCTCCAAACCTACCCACTTAACAACCTCCAAACCTACCCACTTCCCGCCCTCCAAACCTACCCACTTCCCGCCCTCCAAACCTACCCACTTCCTCCCCTCCAAACCTACCCACTTTCCACCCTCCAAACCTACCCACTTCCCACCCTCCAAACCTACCCACTTCCTGCCCTCCAAACCTACCCACTTCCCACCCTCCAAACCTACCCACTTCCCGCACAGGTGCCCACGGGAGGAAAGTCGTCCTCGTTTCCCAGGCTGAACATCACCGGCGACGGCGGCGGCGGCACGACCGTCTCCCGCAGCAGCGCCCTCTTCTGCCTCGCGGCGCCCTCTCGGGGCCCGCTCCTGTTCTGCCGGCGTTCGGCACGCGGACTCGCCCCGGGCCGCCGCCGCCGCGCGTCCGCCGGCAGGAACGCGGCGATGGTCGGCGGTGGGCGCGGCGCGGCGGGTCGTGACCCCGCGTCGGGGCTGCGCGTCGTCCGCCGCCCAGCCTTCTCGTGCTGCCGTCCGCCCGCTCCTCTCCGCGGGCGAGCGGCCGGCAGGAGCTCGGGTGACGCATCGACAGGGCTCGACTCGTGGCCGCCAGACTCGCGGCGCACGTTCGCAGGCGACGCGCTGAACAGCTGCGTCCTGCTGGAGCGATGCGGCCTTGCGGCGGCGGACGACGCGTCGCGCGGCGTCGTCGTGCCAACGGTCGCCGCCGCTGCCGCCCCAGCGGCACGCTTCCATTTGAGCGACGTCGGCGTCTTAACGGGCGTCAGGCTGGCGGACTGCCGACTCTGCAGGATCGCCGTCGTCTGCTCGTGAAGAAAGTTCACGAAGAAGGGTATGAAGTCCTGCTTCAGACTGTCGAGGGCGGTGAGCGCAGGTATATCCGCCTGTATAATGGATGAGAGAAGAACCACACATTAAAAAATATATATATACATAAATAATAGATATATGTACGTCATTTCATTATTGTACGTTGCATTGTGTGGATTAAAATTTGTATAAATGCAAATAAATGCAAAAACTATATTAAAAAAATGCTTTCGTCAGAGTACCTAAAGGACATCACCAAGCTGACATAATAGTAATAGAGGTTTAGAATGCATGCTCTAGTATCAGCTCTATAACAGGCATAACTACAACAATTGCACATAACCCTAACCGTAATCTGGATTTTGGATTCTAACCCTACATATCCTCTCAAACACTAATCTGCATCTAATTTCTAGCTGTTGTTATGAACTTTACACTCCAACCTGCAGAATGCTTTGAAAAGATTTTGGATCCTAATATAGGACTAATGATGATCAAGTAGGATACAAGATCAGCAACTACTACAATTATAAATGTGACAACATATACAGGGGTAGAAATTAACTTTTGAACAAGGGAGTGCAACGGACTGGACTCCCTGCCCTCAAAAATTAGGGAGTCCGCAGCAAAATACGGGAGTCCGCAATCTGAAGTTCAAAACTAAAGATATTAACAATAACGCATGTGCTTATTTTGATGATTCATGCAGTTGCACGTCTGCCAAATTTTCTTTGAACATTTGCTAAAAAAATACGGTAATTCCGCGAGGTCGTGCTCTGGAACAAACTAGTTAGTATATAGCAGAATTTTCAGGGAGTCACACGGACTCCTGCATATGTCAAATCAGGGAGTCTGACAGTAAATCAGGGAGTATTTGACCAAGGACTCTGGTTAATTTCGCACCCTGCATATATATGTGGGTATATACAGCTGCTTTCTGCTGTACACAGTATCATCTTACACCAAAGTGCAGATGGTCATGTAAACATTGCTAGCAGTTTCTTTGGATAGGTAGCAACACAAGTTAGTAACTACTGTTTACGAAAAATGCAATAGACAAAGGCTGAAGCACTGAGGATTAAGGACCCATTGTTTGAATAAGGTGGCTAGCTGGGTGTGACACTATTCAAGACAATCACTTGGAACTGTTGCCTGTTCAGCTATCCACAATAGAATTGTGTTCCTGAATGCATACACATCAGTTCCAGACCATCTTGTCTAGACTGTCTAAAGCATAAAGCAGTCTAAGGCAGCCACTGGCTCAGCAGTTCTGGACAGATGGTCTTGCCTATCTGGTTCAAACTGACAACAAGTGAGTACTGGTTTAACTCGGCATAGATTGTGATGTTGCGAAGAATAACGAAGGACCACCAACACAGTACTTAATATCAACAATCAGATCATATAATTTACCTACAATGATGACGAGGCTATTACATATTTATAGTTAACGTTTATTATATATATTGTTACTGTTATGTTTCTTACTACTACTGTCCCTACAGAATATCGGAGTCTCATTGAAAGATAAGACTAAGACAGGGTTTGTTCATACAAAGCAAAACATTTTTCTATGTACTATTTTTGACCTGCTTTTTGAGATACAACATATGCACTTTGTATCCTTCAACCAACAATGTGTGAGTTAGTCAACAAACATTTGCATCAAACAAATTTGATTCCTTCTCTAACAGGGCCATCCCTTCAGTATACTAAACTTGTTATAATCATTGCTAAACTGTGGTCATAATAGCGACGTGCCTACTTTCAGGACGTAAAGCAAGAATTTCTCATGTTTTTAGTTTACCAACTGTTTTCATATTTTCTCGACCTTTCTGATACTCACTGATACTCACTGATACTCCTTGCATAACACCCAGTATTATAGTAAGGCTAACTTGTCATAGCACACTTGCACATCATTCTTTTCACTAATATGTGCACTGATCTGCATTTCAAATTACATTTGTTTACATATATACGTCAACAAAATTAGTGTGTGAGTTTTCCTCTCGCAAGATGACACTGACCGGAACCCCATCTATACTGTAGATTAATTACCTTTGTATATATTTCGAGATGCCGGTTTATAAATATTTGCGTCACATAACTACGTGCACTTGTTTTTGGGGAGCGTTTGAAAATTCCATTACCACGAATCTGAAGATAGCAGGTGCACGTTTGATGTTCACTTAATGTTTTACAGCCTATAACAGCAGATACTCGTAATAATTTTTAATACTGAAGTAATCAGTAATGTGTACACTGACAGGTGATACTAAATTTGCCTGAATTTACCTTTTTTTACTCCTTTAAGAAATGATCATTTTTATACATGGAAAAAGTCATTATGAAATCCATGACTTTCCAGGTTTTCCAGGACCCATGTTCAATTCAAGATAAATGATTGGGATCAATGCCACTATAGCTGAGACTGTGAGAGCAAACCAGAACTCAATCCACTGACCCTACAACTTAATCATTCATCTGTTTTGCATGTTTATTCAAGTACATTTTTAAATGTAACGTGTAATTTTATTGTGGTTGTTAAATGATGGAGGATTTTTGGATTCACTACTTTTAATAATAAAAGTGTGTTTAACTTTAAATACTGTGCATACTTCATCATCACTTTAGCTCTACCGCTAATGATCCTAATTTAATCATTAGTAACTTACATATCGAGTAAGGGTAAGTCTAAGATCAAATTCGTTTACATTGTGCCAAGTTGACAATGTGGCGGCTGATGCTTTTTACACTGCGACTACACTGCAGTCGTACAGTAGACATACCCTGGTAACCCAATATTGTATCTATGTGAGTACGAGTAAAATTATAGATCCGATTAACAGTGAGTAACTCAAGTGAACGAGACTATCCTCTGGCCCTGGACGCAAGTAGTGAAGTACGAACCAGTGTGCCAGTGACACTATCGGTGACAGTGTCACAGACACAGTCAGTGTGTAACTGAACTATCACAGTGTCAGTGTAACTCTAAACACTGTATCACTATCACTATCAGTATCAGTATGATTATCACTCAGTACCGTATATGATGGCGTATCACTGACAGTGACAGTGACGACTAAGTATCAGGGATTCCCGTAATCTTAAATAGATGTAGGCCTACCTTAAATAAAGTGTTTTCTATTAATCTCAGTTCAGTTAAAGTAATGGTGCAACTAAATATTACCTGTGATGACAGCAACCATGTTAATATATGTTGACTTTTGACTTTCCCACTACAGAGCAAATCCAAAATCGCCGCCATGATGATGATGTACT